CATATAGTAAAAACTAAAAATACCTTCTTGTAAAGACCCAAAAGGCCTAGAGCTTAGATATTGTGCATAAGGCATTGTCTGGTAGACCTCTACCAGATTGTTCAAATTATAGCCCTGGGGTCAAAATGGGCCCCGCCCCGGGGGTCATTGATTTTCACTGTATGTACATATAGTAAAAACTTAAAATACCTTCTTGAAAAGACCCAAAAGGGCTAGAGCTTAGATATTTTGCATAAGGCATTGTCTGGTAGACCCTTACCAAGACTGTTCAAATTATAGCCCTGGGGTCAAAATTGGCCCGGCCCCAGGGTCATTGATTTTCACTATATGTAAATATTGTTAAAACTTAAAATACCTTCTTATAAGGACCAAAAGGCCTAGAGCTTAGATATTTTGCAGAAGGCATTGTCTGGTAGACCTCTACCCAGATTGTTCAAATTATAGCCCTGGGGTCAAAATCAACCCCGCCCCGGGGGTCATTGGTTATCCTTACATGTATATAGTAAAAACTTACCGTAAAAACTTTAAAAAAAATCTTCTAGTAATTGACAAATGCTAGAGGTAAGATATTTTGCATGAAACATAGTGTAGTGAAGCTCTAGCAAGATTGTTCAAATTATAACCCTGGGGTCAAAATTGGCCCCACCCCTAGGGGTCATTGATTTTCACTATGAACATAGAGTAAAAATTAAAAAATCTTCTTATCTGAAGGTACAAGGCTTAAAGCTTTGATATTTGGTATATAATATCATCTTTGGGTCCTCTACTAAAGTTGTTTTAATTATACCCCTAGTGTTGAAATTGCCCTGCCCCAGAGGCGCTAGATTTCCTTATATGTATAAAGTAAAAACTTGAAAAATCTTCTTCTCTGAATTGACAAAGGCTAGAGTTGAAATATATGGCATGAGACTTTGCGAAGTGAACCTCTACCAAGATTGTTCAAATTTTAGCCCTGGGGTCAAAATTGGTTCCGCCCCGGGGGTCATTGATTTACATTATGTATATCTAGTAAAAAAATAAAAAATATTTTTGTCTGAAGGTACAAGGCATAGAGCTTTCATGTTTGCTATATAATATCATCTATAGGTCCTCTACCAAAGTTATTCAAATTTTTCCCCTGGTGTCAAAACTGGCCCTGTCCAGGGGCATGATTCTCATTATGTACACATAGTAAAAACAGAAAATAAATCAAATGTTTTCTGAATGGGGAGAAAGCTTCAGCTTAGATATTTGACTTGAAATGTTGTTTGGTGGACCTGTATCAAGATTGTTCTGAATTAAACCCTTGGGTCAAAATTTTGCCTTGACCAAGGGGACAGTGACCTACTTTCTTGTCCTTTGATGTACAGCAATGAAATTTTGACCATGTGCACAGTTTTAGTTTGTAAAATTGAACTTTGATATCAGGTGACCTAGATTTTGATAATGTGACCTACTTTCTTGTGCTTTGATCTACAGCTATGAAATTTGAACCATGTGCACAGATTAAGATGTAAAGTGGACTTTGATATCAGCTTACCTAGATTTTGACAAAGTGTCTTACTGTGTTGTCCTTTGATGTAGTCATGAAATTTGGCTGTGTGAAATATGACCTTCACCACCAAATTCACTAGACTCAAGTGCATTGATATATTCCTGCTCTGATCTTTTATTTGATTAACAATAGATTTAATCACTAATCTGATAATAAGAATTAGATAGGTCAGGGATCTATGCATTATGACAATCTTCAATTGTATAGAAACAAAAAAAAATCTGTTCCTACACTACTATTTAGTGTTGTATTAATGCGGTGGCATAGCATTTTTCTCAAATGCAATCTTGTTTAAATTCAAATTAGACATATACAGTAAGAATTTCATAGATTCCAATAATTTCTGTGATTAAAATATTTTACTCAAGGATGAGCATAGTATTTCTTTAAGTAATGGAAAAAATACAAAATTATGAAGCTTGAAAGATATGTAAGCCAAAGTACATGTATCAGTAGGTTCAAAAGATTAGGACTACATCCAAAACTGCATCATGTCTTACATGAAATTCCAATTTCCAATCAAATAGAAAGGTAATCTACCAAAATAACCATCTACAAGGTCTTACAAGATATTACGGAAGACAGTCTTTTTCAAGCTGTTGTTGATAAATAATCATCTACCAAACACATACGAAAACTACATAAAATTTTAGAATGAACATTCAAATATTTAACATAATGGGTAGCATCTGTAAATTGCCAAGTGAAATATTGTACTGACTTTATTGCTTGTTAATAAATACCTATTTGTAGTCTATTCAATTTCCAACATATTAATGTTGAAAATTGAAATAGCACCAAATAAAACCTCTAGTAAGATAATTACAAAGCAAGAGTTTCCCCCGAAGATTTCCATAAAATCATTTTGATAATGTCTAGGTAAATATTTACAAAACGGAGATAATAATACAAGAATTGTCAAGGTAACACCTTAGGTTTTATATTAATCAATTTCTGAACAAAAACAGTTAATGTCTGAAACTGATTGTCAACAATATATATATATATATATTCTCTTATATTCTAGGTAGAATTTTATAGTCCTCTTGGCTTAGAGTCAATGGCACCTTAGTTAGAAGGTTGGACAACCACTTTCTGGGTTTTAAATATTCTACTGAAATATATTCTAATGAGATATTCCTGACTTGCGAAATATATTCTGACTTGTGAAATATATTCTGACTTGTGAAATATATTCTGGTTAGTGAAATATATTCTGGTTAGTGAAATATATTCTGACAAGTGAAATATATTCTGACTAGTTAAATATATTCTGACTCGTTAAATGTTTCTGAGTAGTTAAATATTATCTGCCTAGTTAAATATTTCTGACTAGTGAAACATATTCTAACTAGTTAAATATTTCTGCCTACTGAAACATATTCTAACTAGTAAAATATTTCTGACTAGTGAAACATATTCTGACTAGTAACTACTGGATGGTATATGAAAGTGTTTACTCAATACCGATAGCTTTGGAGATATATGAAAAATACAAACATGACTTCCCTCCCAGGTACTGAAGTACAAACTTTATGAACCATCTATATTAAAACCCCAGAAATACATGCTTAGGGACTGGAATATGTTACTGTGTGTATGAATTACAGTATACAAGTTTTGCTGGGACAATATAAGTTCAAATTAAAACTTGGAACATTAGTTATTCCCAAACAAAACCTGTCTGTAGGCAGTTATAAATCATAGATATATATTTTTAGTTATTACCAAACAAAACCTGTCTGTAGGCAGTTATAAATCATAGATAAATATTTTTAACCAGGTTTTCCGAAGGAAAAAACTGGTTATTAGATTGAGGTATATCGGCAGGCGGGTGGATGGGCGTAAACAATTTCTTCTGTGCGCAACTCCTCCTACATTTCTCAACGGATTTTGACCAAACTTTCAGAGAAGCTTGCTCATCAAGTGCCCTGGCGCATTTTGTCGGGGTTTTGTGATTGGATAATATTTGACCTAATTATGGCCCTTTGTTTTTTTTCCTTATATAGAATATATAGTGAGCGCAACTCCTCCTACATTTCTCAACGGATTTTGACCAAACTTTCTTAGAAGCTTTGTTATCAAGTGCCTGGCACATATTGTCGGGGTTTTATGATTGGATAATATTTGACCGAATTATGGCCCTTTGTATATTTTTTCCTTATACAGAATAATAGTGAACAATTTCTACAGTGCGCAACTTCTACATTTCTCAACGGATTTTGACCAAACCTTCACAGAAGCTTTGTCATCAAGTGCCCTGGCGCATATTGTCAGGGTTTTGTGATTGGATAATATTTGACCTTATTATGGCCCTTTGTTTTTTTTCCTTATACAGAATTGAACAAATTCTTCTGTGCTGAACTCCTCCTACATTTCTCAACGGATTTTGTTCAAACTTTCACAGAAGCTTTGTCATCAAGTGCCCTAGCACATATTGTCGGGGTTTTGTGATTGGATAATTTTTTACCTAATAATGGCCCTTTGTTTTTTTTCCTTATACAGAATATATATAGTGAACACTTCTTCTGTGCGCAATTCCTCCTACATTATTCATGTTTTACATTGCACATAGTTACATTGCAGGGACTACCTTGGACTGAAAATTTAGGGAGAAGTGACTTCTCCCTTCAGGAAAAATAGGGAGAAGTTTTGAAATTTAGGGAGAAGTGATCATCAAAATTAATAGAGTTATATCATTGGATTTTTTTCTAATTTTATTTCACAAAATATACATGTACACCTTTATATGTACATGCATATAAAATATACATGTATATGGCATGGAAAATAAACAAATGTGTATTTGAAAATCGCTTTGATGATATTTAATGAAGTATTAGTTGCCCAATAAAGTTTATTTAAGCATTTGATTTACATCAACACAACATTTTTAAATTTTTTTTTTTAGGTTCAATAGTTTCTGATGCAATTTATTAAGAAGAAAAGTTCTTTAATTCATAATAATTATCCAAATTTTATCAATTTACATCAGTTTTAATGATGAATATTACTATCATAAATGTAATGGTGATAACAAACGTATATGGGATATTGTAAATCAAACAGGACATATAGGGGAACTAGTAAATCAAGCAGGACATATAGGGGAACTAGTAAATCAAGCAGGACATATAGGGAACTAGTAAATCAAACAGGACATATAGGGGAAATTGTATATCAAACAAACATTTAGGGAATACTGTAAATCAAACAAAACGTCATTGTTTGTTGCTTGTATTTGTATTTCAAATACAACATATTTATCTACAATGGTGATAATTGAAAACCTGGTTTCATGGCATTGCCATGTTTCTTGTTAGTTATTACCAAACAAAACCTGTCTGTAGGCAGTTATAAATCATAGATATATTTTTAGTTATTACCAAACAAAACCTGTCTGTAGGCAGTTATAAATCATAGATATATATTTTTACTTAAAAAAATGAAATAAACAAACTAAATAATCATTCCACATCTTTATTTACTAAATATATCAAAAACAAGAACAACAATTTTGGAATGTCTGTAACATAAATAACATGACAAATAATTGCACACAACTCTCTGGAAACACTACCTCTGCCACTGGCGTGGTATTTTCCAAATTTATATCATACTTTGTAAATTGTTTCTAGAGCTTTTAATCCGTCTGCATGTAAAATTTGCATATTTGGCGAGACAAAAACTGAATTGGTGGTTTTGAAATGTAGGTAATAAAACAAATTTGTCCAAAAGACATATTAAAATGCCAAAATCTTCAGATAAGTATAATTTACCTAGACTGTCTATAGAATATTTATCAAATTTTGATGGTATTAGAAAAGTCTTGTTTTCAAAGTAATACAATATATCACCCAATATTTCACATAAGCTTAATCGCTCACTGATTCTGAACTCTTAACTTTTCTTTTTTTTAAAAAAAAAACAACAACAAAACAACAAGCCTTAGGCAGAGAAAAATCTGGTATATGAAGTAGTAAAGAGATGTCTGCATTAAAAACTGATTAAAAACACTTCTAAACAATTTACAAAGATGACTATATATGGCACCATAATCTATGAAATCACATTTTTTCCTTAAACTATATACACATAATATCTATTAACATAATTTACAAACAATAACTATAAACAAGAGCAATGGAAAACCAAGAACAAAAAGACAAATCTTTTAACTTGTACATATTAATGATTTTGAACTGAACAAGTAAAAGGTTTTTTTTCTTTAACAACTAAAATAAATCTATGGCAGAATTGTAGAGATATTTCTTCATCCTTAACTTAACAAAAAAAGTAATAAAAATATTAAAATACCTGCTTACAATAATGTTCAAACTTACTTTTTTTAAAGGTATGAATCACTATTGGTGATTAAAGCATAAATAAACTTATTGAAACATAAAACAAAGTTAAAGAAAATTTCAAAATATCAATATCGGGACAAATCAATCCACAAAACCCCTGCACAGTTTGCTGGTTGAACCAGCGTCTATTTACATTATTACAAATACATATATCTATATGTACAATGAAAATAATATCAAAATGGTTAACATATAAACACTGATTGTCACAAAACAATGTACAAAAAAAGCCCTGGAAAAACTATTTCCCACATGAAACACAAATACTCAAATGTTTCTGTATTCTAGCAAGCCAAAGGAGAGACATTTACATTCTCTCAGCTGATAATTTAAAAGTTTAAACATTGATTTACTGACATCATTTGCTTCCCATGAGTACAGAAGCACATTACTGCTCCTTGATTATTTCACTGTTGTCATTATTTCTGTGTTTTAAACAAGAGAAAAGTAATACCAGTAGTTGTTAACACAATAAAATAAACTTACAATTCCATGACTTAACTTTAAACCTGTTGAATTTGTGTTATATAGGTTTCCCCTGCTTTCCCTTTCAATTTGGAACTGTCCATTTAATTTTAAGGATTCGGAACAGTTTATTTAATATTTTACAAAATACAAAAATTAAGCTACCAACAGTATAGAGTCTGGTCAAACTGCATTGAAATACAAGCTAGCCTGGCTCCATATTGGCAGCAAAAGCCAGCCACAACAGAAATATACAAAATACACATGCATCTGAAAATCCCACTTTACAAATTAGGTATAACATATTAACATATGTACAAGAAACTGGTGATGTATCAAACGAAAGACTATATCATGACATGTGATATGTTTATAAACATAATATGAAAAATGAATGACTATCTATTGTAACACCTGAACAAAATAACCTACAAAAAAGTTTGATATCATATACAATACATCATTGATGAAAAAAATCCCAAAGTATATACATTCAAAACATATTGCCCGAATTACATTAGCAGTCACATGTAATGAAACATGAATGAAATGGCATATCCACGGGTAAATAGTCTTCATGCTAGCACTTCCTTCAGTGTATCTATATAAGTTTTAAACACTTTATTTCTACTTGTTCAAACCTCTACATTGACACTACATCAAATTTACTATACCATGACTGTGAGACAATGAACAAAGTATGGTGTCAAATCAAGGACAGGGTGAAATCTCGGACAACTGCCGATCGGAGATTTATCATAGATAAATGAGGTATAACATGCAAATTCCAAGTCATATGTATCTTACACATTGATTCCCTGTGTACAGAAGAACATCACTGAAGTTAAATGACATTTTACAAATATAGTGATAAATATGGCTGAATCATTTTGTCCTCCATGATAATTTTGCATACAACATATATCTCAGACTTTCTAACCAGCACAGAAAAAATGTTATCAATATAAACAAGCTAATTTCTAAAATAACTAAATATTACTTCTTCATCCTTATATGAATTGTCTGATTGTCTATAAAGACTTTCTTATCTTAAATAGCTGCCACTAGCAAATTTATGTTTACAATACAGTAAAAAAAGTCAAATATGAGAAATAACATTCACACAATTATGTATCAGAAATAGCTATTACTGTTCAAAATATTCTAGTCTAGATATCAGAAGTAGCAGTCACTTATGTACGACCGGTGTATGTGTAAGAAATACTTGTCTCCAGCTAAGATACATCAGAAATAACTTATATAAGTTTCAAGCATATAAGAAAGAGCTTTTACTATGTCAGAAATAGCTGTCAATAATTTAGATATATCAGCAATAGCTTTCACTGTTTTAAATATATAAGAAAAAGCTCTCACTAGTTTAGACACATCAGAAATAGCTGTCACAAGAATAAATATATCAGAAATAGCTGTCACTACTTAAGATATATCAGAAATAGCTGTCACTACTTAACATGCATCACAAATAGCTGTCAATAGTTTAGATATATCAGAAATAGCTGTCACTGTAAAAAGCTCTCATTAGTTTAGGCACATCAGAAATAGCTGTCACAAGTTAAGATATATCAGAAATAGCTATCACTTGTTTGTCCACTACTATTGCTTGCATTCTCAATCTCTCTCCACTGAGGTCTCGGGATCTGTGTACTAGCTAGAGTAGAAGAATGTGTCCTTGTAGTACTCCTTCCCTCAAATCTCATTGGATTCATGGCTAAAGCAATAGCTCGAAAACTTGATCGTATATCACTACGATGTACAGGGAAATAACTCTCACCGTTCTTATTCAGCTGCCTGTAATGCATATATAACAGTGTCCTAAAATGTCTTTTCTGCATCATTAAATAGCTAATTATGATGTTCTGAATTAAAAATAAAGTTTAGAAAGAAACTAAAAGAATAATACTCATAGAATAATGATTGTTTACTTACGATTTATAATAGATCTGAACAAAAGTATGAATATTATTTGCGTCCATTTATTTGTATATGTAGAGATAATAATTATGTATAAATAAATTACCTTCTAAAACATAAGAATATACAGGCCAGTATAACAAGAAGAGCTGCCACAGATGTAACACCTATACCTGCTATAGCACCTGTACCAATACCTGTATCTAACAAAAATAAAGTTCAACAATCAATTCATTGTCTGATTTGTATCTTTCTAACATGACATCATTCTAAATATACTTGATTTCATAAAATTGCTACTTTATGAATAAAAGCTGGCTGAAATTTGGACATCCCATGTTAATAATGAGAACAAAGCAAAAAGCAAATATTGTAACTTTGATTAAGATGAAGAAGACCTTATAGCGAGTCTTTTGTTTTCTTTAAGAAAAAGTTGGAACAGATCATGTTGGAAATATCCCTATCATCAAATTTATTTGAACAATAAATTTAAAACTTCTTCAAAACTAATGTCTCTTTTTTCCCCTGCAAGGTCAATTTATTTATTGTAACTACATACCAATTTCTAGTTCACACTTTAAACCATGGTAACCGTCATGACAAAGACATTTAGGGTTTCCTTCTGTATCTTTACTACAATCACCATTCTCACATTTACCGGCACAGTTATCTGAGAAAATGATTTACAACAAATACAATATAAAAGAAAATCCTGAGGTAAATTAATTTTTGAACTACAGATTTCTTCCAATTATCACTTAGAACATGTACTATGACTAATAACTTGTCACATGTCTGCTTCCTAATTTACCAATCATTACTCTGACATGTTATGAAACCATAATACATATATAAAAAGGTTTAATTGAAAATAAGAACAGCTTTGGATTACTGGTAACTTATAAATAATTACTGAACAGTAAAATAAAATTCTAAAATACTGAAGACAAAATTCTAAAAACAAATGTGTCTTACCAACACAAACTCCATTTTGGTAAGTAGACCCTTCACAGCATTGGCAATTGTATGAAGTATCAACTCCTGTACATACTCCTGTGACCTCACCACAACCATGTAGGTCAAGGTCACATGGATCCTTGTCTGTTTCCATGGTGACACATTCTAAACTAGATACTGATCCTTGTCTGAGAGTTGTTTGGCCAAAGTTACACCTGAAATAATTGAGTTTATTTCTGGTTAAATTATACAACGACCAACCTTCTATATTATCTCCAGAATATATGATGAGATTTAACATAGTTTGATTGTGAAACAAGTTCACGCAACTTGTATTAATAATTTTTGAGTCTACTTCCTACACTAGTATAATGAGATAAAACAAGGTCATGACCAAAGTAGGGCTTGAATCCACAATCACTGGACTGAAGGCTGACATAGGCTAATTCTCACCATAATTAAAATAAGAACTTTGTGTCAGATAAAATCATGATAAAGCTTTCTCTTCTATGTAGGAATTCAAATTCAAACATTAAATTTCATAAAAACAAATGAGAAATATAATCAACAATTACCTAGTGCAACAATCTTTATCATCATTTTCCTGATATGTTCCTAAGGGACACAACTCACAAGTGTTGTTGACAGTTCTTCTCTCCCCTGATTTACATTTTACTGAAATGTAGAAATATTTAAGCAAATAAGTACAAAAACATAGAAAAATCCGAATAATAGGAGAATGTGATTTGAGCATTTTTTTTTTTGTGACACTAATAATAATTAACCAATATTTTACTGACTCAGGTGAAAGACGAGCAAATTACAGCATAAAATTCTGTTAAAATCATTTCATCAAGGTCTTCTATAATAATTTGCAAAAGAATACAATTCTTAATTACATACCAAATGAACAGTCTTGTATATTTTTGGAACCAGTGTACATAGTTGTGTAACCATAGGGACAAGACTGACATGTGACCTCTGACCTCTCCTCTTTGTACATGCCCACAGGACAAGGGACACAACTCCCATCAACTGACATCTCCATACCCAAAATATTGCACATAACTGTGGAAATAAAAATATATATAATTCAATAAGTCTTTACAACACATGAGTCACATTTTGCTTGTCAAGAACTATTTTATTATCAAACTGTAAGACTGACCTGTAATTCTGTCTTGTTCTTATTTGTATACATATATTTCACTAAGTTGTACAGAGCTGATTAAAGGTAAGTAATGGCATTAAAACAGCAATTCTGTACAATTCAACTGAACGGAAATGATAAGATAATCAGTAATTAATCCTCACTATGAAACTAGAACACTGGTTTAAAGATCCTGTAACACATTATTTTTATGGTTTTATATACAAATTATGATGCTTAAATTAAGATTTATCGATATTGTAAGTTTCAAAAAACATTATTTATAAAGATATTACCGAATTTAATATTTCATGTAAATAAAGGGAGGTAATTAGAATTTAGTTTTCTATCAATTCTAAGTCAATTTTTCCAATAAGAAATGGATGCATATAATTTAATGATTACCTTAAATATGTACAAATATTTGCAATACATATTTTACATATTCTTCCATGTTTGAAAATTGACAAATTTGCATAATTACATACATATATAATTCAATGAAGAGTGGTATGCAGTCTCAATTACAAAACATACAATATCTTTAAACATATTTATTTAGGCTTGATTAAGTTCTTTCAACTTATATTAATCTCTTTCAAGTCCACTTCCTGGAACCAACCAGTACTGGTATCATATGAAGAATCAAAGTGCTGAAGGCACTGCAGTTGGGACGTATGAAGGATCAAAAAACTATTTTTTCTATTTCGGGGCAGATAATTCAATGAGTGAAGGGTGTTGCCGGTTGATAAATATAAAGTGCACAATTCAGTAAATGAACAGTAGATGATACAATTATTCTATGACACACATGTTATATATAATATTTAGGTTACATGTACGTGTAGGTCCATCATAAACCGTTATTGGCCTTTTTTGACAAGAGCAACAAGTGAAATTAGAGCTACCAGAGGAAAACTGCAAGCTCGACTATTTTAACACATGACATTATAAAGGGAGACAAAGCTATGAAAAAATAATCAATTGTGATATATATCAAATTTTCTGTATCAGTATCAAGTAAACACTCATATGGTCAATATTTTTTGCATCACATTATATGAATGTGACCATGTCATTAGAACTTATAATGGCCTTTGTTTACTGCAATTCTCATGCTAATCTCTTTCACTGTATAACGTTTATAAAGTTTCAATCAAATTCCTTCAATAATTTAATCCTCTCTCTGAACAGTATCATGAAATATATACGGAGATAATTCAAAAACTAAGTAATGTAGAATTTTGGTTATTTGACACAAGACTTCTGCTCACTAGTCTCTACAACTGTATTTAGTTTGAGTGTGATATCATTGAAAAGATTTACTCCAGACAACCATTATTTTAAAAGTTGTTGTACATGTATTTTAAGAGATGATAATTGTAAAATTAAGCTAAAAACTAGAACTCCGCAAGTCGGATGTGTCGCCTTGTGAACAATGTAGTTTAGGAGAAATGGCCAGGACAAAAATGAAATATGAAAAATAACAAAGGGCAATAACTAAAAAAATAATAAGTGCAGAGCAGCAGTTTCTGAACACTGCACTTCTTATCAATAAGATCTATCATTCTATGATGATTCAAGTCCATAGCTTTCATACTTGAGGAGAAATGACCAGGACAAAAATAAAGAAAGAAAATCAACAAAGGGCAATAACTCAAAAAAAAAAAAGAAATGCAGAGTACCAGTTCTTGTGCACTGCACTTCTTCTTAATGAGAGCTATCATCCTATGAAGTTTCAAGTCCATAGCTTTTATACTTAAGGAGAATTGGCCCGGACAAAATTAAAGTATGAAAATAAACAAAGGGCAATAACTCAAATTATAACAAATGCAGAGTAACTGTTCTTGTGCACTGCGCTTCTTCTTAATGAGAGCTATCATCCTATGAAGTATCAAGTCCATAGCTTTTTTAGTTGAAGAGAAATGGCCCGGACAAAATTAAAGTATGAAAATCAACAAAGGGCAATAACTCAAAAAATAAGAACTGCAGAGTACCGGTCCTTGTGCACTGCACTTCGGGTTATTAAAAGAAGCATGCATACCAAGTTTGAAGTCAATCAGACTTATAGTGACTGAGTTATGCTCCGGGACGCCGACAACGACACAGACGCCGCCGACAAAAGTAACCCCTATATGTCACCTTTACAAGGCGACACAAAAATTAGGGTTATTTGAAAAACACTTTCTTTCACTTGATTATTTTCGCTGCTGTGTAAAAGTTAATCAAATTTCATCAACTCTTTTCCAGTACTTCTCTGGACAAGCATAATTAAGTACATGTATAATAAAGGTAGATAATTAAATAAGAGGGCCATGATGGCTCTGAGGTTGCCTACCTATATATACCCCCCCCCACCCTGCAGGGCCAGTTTTAACCCAAGGGCTTTTATTTGAACAAACTTGGAAGACATCCATAAGAATGATGCATGCTAAACATCAAAGCTCTAGCTTATTGGGTTTTTTTAAAGAAGATTTTTTAAGTTTTTACTAACACATACTGTTAAAAACAATGACAACCCTGGAGCAGGGCCAGTTTTGACCCCAGGGCTTTTATTTGAACAAACTTTGTAGACACTCACTAGAAGATGTTTCAATTTATAATATAAACTCTAGCTATTTGGGTTCTTTAAAAAAGATTTTTGAAGTTCTAACTATATGCATATAGGGAAAATCAATGATCCCCTTGGGCAGGGCCAATTTTGACCCAAGGGCTTTTATTTGAACAAACATGGTAGACACTCATTAGAAGATGTTCATGCTAAATATCTTAGCTCTAGCTCTTTGGGTTCTTTAAAAGAAGATTTTTTAAGTTTTTACTATTTGCATTTAAAGAAAATTAATGACCCCCTGGGGCATGACCAATTTTGACCCCAGGGCTTTTATTTTAACAATCTTTGTAAACACTCACTAGAAGATATTTCATGCTAAAATATCTTAGCTCCTTCCTTAAAAGAAGATTTTTTAAAGTTTTTACTATATGCATTTAAAAAAAATTAATGACCCCCTGGGGCAGGACCAATTTTGACCCCGGGCCTTTTATTTGAACAAACTTGGTAAACACTCATTAGATGATGTTTCATGCTTAATATCTTAGCTCTAGCTCTTTGGGTTCTTTAAAAGAAGATTTTATAAAGTTTATTATATGCACATAGGGAAAATCAATGACCCCTGGGGCGGGGCCAATTTTGACCCCAGGGCTTTTATTTAAACAAACTTGGTAGACACTCACTAAAGGATGTTTCAAGCCAAATATCTAAGCTCTAGCTCTTAGGTTTTTTTTAAAGATGATATTTAAAGTTTTTTTTCTTTCGGTTTCCATGGCAACCAGAGTTCAGCATGGAATTAAATTCTTTGCACAATTTTTAAAGGTGACAGCTAAAGGAACATTCTTGTGAAGTTTGGATAAAATTAGCTTAGTGGTTTATGAGGAGATGTCATTTAAAGTAAAAGTTTACGGCCATACGAAAAGAGATCACAAAAGCTCGACCTGTCACTTTGTGACAGGTGAGCTAAAAACTAAGGAATGGAGTTATGGTTCTTTGACACATTGGAAAATTCGAGTCGTTCAAGTTGATGTAGATTCAGTGATAGTTTGGAATAAGTATTTTTAACTTAAGGGATATAATTAAAACATGAAGCAAGGTAGAGCTATGATTCTTGAACATTGCACTTCCTCTTAAAAGTCTCTATCACTTTGTGAAGTTTACATAAAATCCCTTCAATACATATCTAGTTATATTCATATTTCGGACAAGAGTGTGAAGGACAAATGTCTTCCTAAGTTCAGACTATGTTTTTTTTCCTTTATCAACTAAAATCTCAAAAACACCATTAAAAACATATTTTCCTCCCATGAGCAACCTTTTTCCCCAAAAGTACAAGTCTGTATGGAATGAACACAGATATTTTATCCATAATATTACTTGAGTCCATACCGACAGATGGTTAAGACCGCAACTATTTTCTCTCCCTTTCAGGAGCATAAATTATAATAACATGCTAAATCTCTGTATAGTTCTATATCAGAAACCAGTATGATGAACGTTACTTTTGTACCATTTAAGTTGTAGCGAAATTCAGCTTTCATTAATTGACATACAGAAATGGGTCAGCCTTTAGTCCCCTCTTAATGAAAATATAAGGGGACTTATAACAACAATTTATTCTCATAGTTTCAATTCTCAGGTTTATTACTTATCATTACACCAGGCAAGCTAAGATACATGATAAAACCACAGGCACTATATACCACATTTACCCATATACGCTCATAATACTATATATAAAGAATAAAGGTCCCTAACGAGAGAAAAATATCATGCAAAACAAACAAGAACTGTTCGGTAAAAATACACCAGATCACTATTTTATTTTTGTGGTTGTCTCTAGGAATAATGTATCCTATCATAAACACTTTTTACTTCATCGAAATCCTACAAAATGCTCCAAAATACGAGCAAGTTTCCAAATTTCACTGAAATGTCATTGCATGTCGTTTTCGACGTCCAAGCGATGCGTGTAAACAAAGGTGAATTCTGGTCAATTTCTACAAAATCAACAAATAACTGTTAAGATTTCGACATACTTTCTTTAACGCAACTTGTATACAGTCAAACTGCGATGTCTTTACTTCACAACTGTCCGACGATAACACTAACAAGCTAAAAATTTAAAAATAATTGACAGCTCCGTTCCAGAAAGTAACCATTTCCTACATTACCGCACTGAATATAAGGTAAAGTAATGATTGGTTAAGCGGGAAATCCGAGTTTTAACATTTTCCTTCAACACAATGTTCATGACTGGCCTTTACTATTGACAGGGGATTCAATTCAGACTAGCCCTCTAAAATACTCCAACTAGTCCAAAGTGTTAATGGTGCCTATACAGTTATGATCACTACATCTGGAAACTGGAGATTCCCACCGAGTGTGATGCTTATCTTCATTCGCTTGACAGTGACATATGTCCACCTTAAAAAAAAGCAATAAAAATTATATGAAGTGCAATAATTTGCAAAAAAATGCTTATTTTATTTGTCTCTTCTTACATTCATAATGCAGAGCACTAGATTTGTGTGTCTGTCATACAAAATGACTTTCAATAATACTATTTAAATATATTTGAAATACAATTTATTTAATAAATACTCATAGTAATACTAAATTCCTTTTTTTGTGATATTTTTTCTGACACATATGTGCAGACAGTACATTGTGTACACCGGTCTTTACTGACCTGTGTGAAACCACTCTTAGCATGATGGAACACACTACTTTTACATGGCGGCTTTAACACCGAAGTGATAGAACAAAACGGAAATCAGGCCACTTGAAAAATTAAACTTTTTCCATACTCTGTTTGGTGTAATAGCCTTTACATCATTTTTTACTCAAAACATGCGCAAAACACTCCTTCTGACAATCCTTTATTGGTATTCGTTCAACACTCGTATTTCGTCAATTGTTAGTTTAAATTAAAACCGAAAGTGAAAGTAGTTTTGAATATTTGAATACATAGTAACACAGTGGAACTATCAAATTTGCACTTGCAATATTAAACTCTGAAAAACAATGAGCAATGAACAATATATTGTGTTTTATTAATAAAATTGTCATCCCTATGCAGACTTCTTTATGTCAGAGTTATTTTTACCCTCATTTGGGGTGAGTAATGCGTTGTGAGAGACTGGTGTGTATACAATTCAGACAGTATACAATTACTTTGTTTCGACGGCATACAATTTAAAGGTATAATTACTTATTGGCTATAAATAAAGTAAATAATGGTTAGTTTAATAACCAATCTGAATGTTTCAAAGATTATCCCTTCAAACTTTAAAAACAGTCTGTCAATTAAATAGATCTTAATAAAGGTACACTAAGAAGAAAACTAGAAATGTGTCCATAGGACACGGGGATGCCCCCACAAGCCACTGTTCTGTCAATCTTATGACTCTAGGTCAAATATTTTTTTGACTACATGTGCCACAAGTTGAAAACTAAAAATCAAAAAAGGGCCATAATTCTCTAAAATTTGGTCGCAGCAAAAATTCCTTCCTTTACTACCATCTACACATTAAGGTTGTTCATCCCTGGAAGTTTAAGCAAAATCTGCCATCCGGTTTAAGAGGAGTTGCGTTCACAAAATTTCTACATAGTATATAATGAAAAAATCAAAAAAGGGCCATAATTCTGCTAAATTTGGTTGCAGCAAAAATTTCTTTCTTTACTACCATCTACACATTAAGGTTGTTCATCCCTGGAAGTTTAAACAAAATCTGCCATCCGGTTTAAGAGGAGTTGCATTCACAAAATTTCTACATAGTATATAGTGAAAAAATCAACAAAGGGCCATAATTCTGTAAAATTTGGTCGCAGCAAAAATTCTTTCCTTTACTACCATCTACACCTGAAGGTTGTTCATCCCTGTAAGTTTAAGCAAAATCTGCCATCCGGTTTAAGAGGAGTTGCATTCACAAAATTTCTACATACCGGTAGTATATAAGTGAAACTAGAAATGTGTCCATAGGACACGGATGCCCCCACACGCCAATGTTCTGTCAATCTTATGACTCTAGGTCAAATATTGTTTTCATTAATTTTTTTGGAAAACAGTTTGGTTTGTGAAATATACATTAAATAGTATATAAGTACCTGTTGTTTGTAATAATCTTCTAGTCTTTGTTTAATCTTATACTGTACTTTTTTCTAGCTACATGTACCAGCCTTTCCAAGTGAATATTAAAGTAAATGATCTTTTATTTCCCTGAAAATATCAATTTAGAGATTTCATTTTCAAATTCATCTAATACTACTCTCTTAGTGTGTGTATATACAATGTATATATGTGTCTATACAATGTACATGTATATATATGTTTACACAATAATATGATTGTGTACAGCATGTAATGACATAATTAAAAATTGAAAAATTTATGATAATAAATATTAATAATATTTCTTCATATTACTCCACAGTATTACCACTAAAATAGAAAATGTTCTATCATTTTATTATGATATTTATTTTTTACATGTAGATTTGTGAAAAAAATGTGAATATCAGTAGTGTCAAAAAATTGTTAAATCATATAAAATGTTTAATTAACACTGATAAATTACTTCAACCATGTATTGAGAACAGGAATAGATCATTTCCAACAGTCTTGCTGTTGTGTTGACATTTTCGCGACATGGTTGTGTGTCTGCCTTGTAATCAAGAGGTCTGGGGTTCAAATCCCTTAAGTGCCTGAAGATTTTTCAGGTTAACAATTATCAAGGTGGCAGTGATTTTTTTTTCAACTTTCAAAACAACCTGTGGCTATATAAATGGGAAACTATAGCTTGATTAATGAGAAAAGAGGAAAAAATTCAACCACTGAAAATGGAATTTACCCATACATTTAAAAAAAGTGTAATTCAATTTAAAGGGGGTTCCATTGAGGTATTTCATTTTTAATTGTCATGATGGGACTGAAATATTTTTTCCAGATAAATGTACCATTTGATGAATGTTTAGAACACTAATCTTTGTACAAACCTTTAGATCATTTGCGCACTTCGTTTTTCCAGAATAACTATTCAAATTGTAAAAAGATGACCCAAAATGAAATGGCTAGACTTTAAATAGATAATAATTTATAAAGGTCAAAATAAAATTATTCTGAAATATTCAAGAATGTGCCCCATTTGGTAGAGACGTAACGGTCGTGACAAGACCAAAAAATTGTAGGCATATATGCCGGTTTTCCTGTAAAGGCAGACATCTGTGTACTATCAATTTGTAAAATCTGTCGATTTGCAGTCTAAGTATGATCGAAATGTCTTGGGTACGAAAGACTCGAGATCTCCAAATTACTTCGAAATTATTTACGAAAGTTTTAGTCCTCGGAAACAAATTGGCATCAATAAATAAACTTAATATTATTATTCATCAAATTCATAACATATTTTGCTTTATAACTTACCTTATGAGCTTAACAGGCTGATAATTATGCTCGTGAAGTAGGTCAAAAAATATACCGGAAGTTGTCGGATTCATTTAACCTAATTATCGGCTAATTCAGAGACGAATAGATTATCTACATCTCTGGCTAATTCTATTTCAATATCCACTTTGCAATTATAAATTACAAAATTTATCCGATAAATAATGTCTTTTTCAAAAATTTCTGGAATATAATACAAAAAAATGTGATGATAAGGCGGATGAGTAAGTTAAATATTGCAAGCCGTCAAGCACTATGACCCAATTAATTTACTATCCCATTCATAGAATTATGTGACCTTTCAAATTATATCCGCTACGTTTCTAATACCGTAATTCAAGCTCAATTGCACATTATTTTCAAAAAATAAATTTCTTGTCTCCTCTTCTGTTCGCAATAAATCGAAGTTTTCAGAAATTCAGAGCACTATTTTTCACTCGCGGCGGTTATGCGTCGGTCATGGTCGGGTGATCACTATGAATTCAGCTTAGATTGATATGTTAGAATACAATATAGCATATAGAGTGGCGATGAAACGTCACAGCAGTGGGCGTTACCCTGTATGGTTGGAAATTTCGGGTTTGTAAGTGCACTAGTTGGGACTACGTCCCAACTAAAAATTACCCGATTAGGGCTCGAACCAATGATCCCTGGGTTGAGACTCTTAAAAACTAAAAGAAAATATTCCCAACTAATGTGTTTCAAATCTGTTGCACATGTAATTCTACATAACAATATATAACATTAAACTTACATGTAAATACATCATATATATACTTTACTTACAATTACAATCATTTAATGACTTAGAAGCATCATATTGTGTTGTATGACCTAGGGGACAGGGTTTACAGGAAGTAGATCCACTCATATCCTGGTAAAATCCTACTTCACAAGGCTCACAATCTTCATTAAGAAGGTAATATCCTCTCTCACAAATATCTGAAATCAGATGAAAAACTAATCTAATTTTCGTCCTTTTTAAAATGTAAGTGTGCCATTAAAAGTATTAGTTTTACAAAATTTTCCTTATAGGCACATCTTGCCTCAGAAATTCAAATTTTTCCATTCTTATAAAATGTGATACACATGTTTAATAATGTTTTAAGGTTTGATCTAGAGCACATAAGTTGTTAAACAACTAAAGAAAGTAGCACTGAGCATGCAGTAATGTGTCATAAAGGTAGCAAAATGTAAACAAAGTAGTATTTTGACTTCCATACAAAATACTAATTCAACATAGTTATACCAATTGCCAACAGAGTATAAGAATTAAAAGATCATCTATATGGCAAATGAGTATTTTTTGAAACTTAAAGTAGATACAAAAAATAAAATACTTTTGAGAAATAAATAAGACAGCTTTTTTATGCATAATGCATAACAGGCCTTTAAAGTGTCAACTTCAAGTATGCATTTCTTCATACAAATACAGTGAGTTATACTTTTTAAAATCAATTAAAAATGCTCAATCTGGGACATAATATAAAGGGATAAGCAACTACCAATTAGATATGTGGTCCTATGTTGGTGTCCAGCCGAAAGCCAAACAACTGACAATCATAGTTTTTAAACTCATATATTAATGTCCTTATTAAAAAAATTATATTGATGAATTTTCATCATATTATGTCTAGACCATTTAAATTCAAATAAATTGTTTAACTCTTTCTTCAGTTGGTTAATATTTCTATTATTTACAAAAACAACTCTTTTACAACAATCAACATGAAAAAATGGCAGAACATGCTGCTTACTGGCAGCAGTGTTTTCCAATTGCCTGTCCCATTATAATAACAGAGATTATTAATTAGTATCTTTTTGTCATTAAGAGGAAAGATTTTTAACTTACAGTAACATTGATTTTCAGAAACAGATCCAGCTGTGAGAGTTGTCTTTCCTTGATCACATGACTTGCATGTAGTCTGCTTCTCCAAATCATTGTAATTTCCTACCCTGCATTGTTGACACAGTCCAGCTGTGGCATTGTGAAAGTACCCTTGACCACAATTTACTGGAAATAAAGGGTTTTCTATATTACAATTTTGGTACGAATTGAATATTTGAGGTGGCAAGTTTGTAAAATATTATTACTCTAAATACCTGAACAAAAATGTTCATAATTGTTACTTACTGTAAATTATTTTATTTGTATAAATCTAACTTTACTGCATCATATATAAATGTCTTAAAATCATGTCTATAATCATGCTGATAGCATCCATCCCATTATTAGTCTGGACATTTACCTTATTCTCAAGCAACACAAATGTACACTTACATTACACATAAACACTGTACATTGTCAAAATTATCTTTCCCCTATAGATTCAGAGTTGTGATTCCTTGACCTCAGTACTGGTGTCAAATGATGAAACATGGGGTCATGTAACCAGGAGGGTTTGAACCCACCATCCATGAGTTATAAGGCCTCTTAAGAGGCCTCTTAACCTTTACTACTCCCCTTATCTATACATTCTGCATGTTTTTTTCTGCATTCAAAACATGCAAAAGTGTCTTTTGCATGACATAATTTATATATATTAAATAACATTGTATACATAAGCACAAATCTATCACACTTACCACAATTTCCTTGACTGAGGACCTGCCCCGTGTCACACGACTGTTCTGTTGTTACAGAAATATCAACTGTTTCAAATTCACCAATACCCGATTTCAATGAGTTTTCAAACTGACCAATAACAGAGGATGAATTCTCAGATGTCAACCTAGTTAAATAGAATATATGTCTAAAAGATATATCTTAAACATGGTTGACTATAACAGGTTTGACTTTATTTTGTTTATAAACATAACCTTAGGAATACTAACTGTTTGAAATTATCTTATTTGCTTTGTATCTAATTGATTAGTGAAGATATAACAACAGTCTATAAAACTCTAAAACGTGTAAAAAGGTTAAGGGACCTGTGCCAATCATGTTAGATAATCACACAAAAAAAGTGTGTGAAGTTTCAACCCATTTTCTTCAGTTGTGTTTTAGAGATACCAACCTGTATATAACAACATAACCAAAGTGTGAGTACATAAGTACAAATTCTTCCAATAGTTGACCTAATAACAGCAACAAAATTTACTTCTTGGGATCAGTTACATTGCACCGATGTAATATTTCTTTAATGAATTGACAGAAATTAAGAAAATTGGAAACCTTATGCTGTGTCTTTATCTATCTTATCACGGATTTATATTACAAGGATCGGACACTTTCGTTTAGCTTAAAGTCCCGTTGCCTCATGCGCGGAATCGGATAAAGGTGGACAGAACGAGATGGCGGAACTTGAGGAGTACGAAATATGACAGATTTTCACCGGAGTATGTGGTGTTATTGCAGCTTTGTGAAAAATTATACACATATGAATGTATTGATACAGTATTATTTTGTGTCGCTAAAGTATTATTATATGAAAATATGCTGATAGAACGCTGCAACGCTTAGTTAAAAAGTACCTAATTTAAAAAATATTCGCCTATTGTTTAGGCATACTCTCTACACTTCGCCGCCCTTTTACTTCAAGCACGAATTATTACCGCGATTCAGAATAAGATAATTATTTTTTACATGGTTTAATGATGGCATTGCAAAAAAACGTTTCTTGATTGCTAAAAAACTTTTAAAGAAATTCATGTTTGAAATGTGTCTTTATTTCTGTGAATTATTTCCAAATGATTTGTACATTTTTTATTTGATTACCTGTATATTAGTATAAACATGTTTATTTTCATCATTTTTCAGAGAAAGGACTATACAAATTTAGTTGTATATTTTCAATTTCATTTATAAATGTTAATAAAGAAAATAGATTTACATTGTATTTATATATATCCTCTTCAGAATCATTTTCTTACCACATATGCCATGAACTGTAGTTAAAGACCGCGCATATACAAAATATACATTCAAATTATATTTGTTTTTGAAGATTGAGTGTTGCAATTATCACATGTAACCTGGTAATGAAAGTTTGGAAATAAAGTTTTTTAATTATCACTTACCCCCCTTCAAAAGTAATTAAACTTGAAAGAAATTTAAGCGATGTGTAAAAAATAATCAACAGTTACTTTTATTTCGCAAAATACTGACTCAAACTGTAAAGATTTTTATTGTTTTTCTAGCGTTACATTAAAAAGTATAATAAATATCTTTCTACAGGCATTCAAATAAAAAGAATAATTAAAATATACAGATTAAAATATACGAGTGTTAAAAAGGCCGGAATCGAGACAGCCACACGAGAGAACTTTACTGTTACGATGATTGTCTACTTCACTGCACCGACATTTGAAAACAGATTTACAAAAAATAATAATGATATAAATGATGAATGAAATTTAAATATTCTATGAATATGGCAATATTGACAATCTCGGCAATATTTTGTACTAAAAAATGAATAAATTTTCTTCACGTGTAAAGGCCGCAATACATTACCCGTAAAACAATTGTGCGTTAATAAATTTGACTACATAACCCAACAAATCTTAAATATTGCATCTTTGATCATTTGTGAATAACTTACATCGGCTTCTTTTTTGTTTTGAAACTGAAAGTATTATGGTACCGTAATAATAAATTTCAAATACCTGCTTTTTATATAAAAAAAATGTAAATTTACCGCGGATTTTGTCAAGTTAATTTTTTAACCGTCGTTGCGGACAGATAAACTGTACCTTTTAAAAAATAAATTAGATATTTGAATCAACCAAGTATTTTTCTTCAAAATAAACTTTAAATTTCCAAAATCGGATAATAAATGAAAAAGCTATATGGTATTTTGTAAAGTAGGTATCCGTTGCGAACAGGCATTTACGCTTCGCGCCGGTATATTATCGATCGATGTACCTTTATCGGGTGCATGACAAGACATTTAAGCATTTATATAGGGTTAACTGGGAGTGTCCGATCCCTGTAATATAAATCCGTGATCTTATCTACAGCTAAAAGTGAGAAACTACTTACTCATTGTTTCTAATACTGAATGTCACATTAAAATGAACTGGTTCCACTGATCTTTTGATGACATTACTGAGGATACAGTCTACATTAATGCTGGCTGTGTCACAGTCTACACTAGGACATAAACCAGTCTGGGAAAACTCTTCACTAAGTAAGTCAATAAGATCCAGTTTAGCTGAATCAGAGCATACTGGTCCCAAAAGTTGTAAAAATCCATCAAACTCCATCAAAGGTGGTTCAAATCCTGCAATATAATATATGGATTATGACAATTCTGGTGTATCTGGCATGCCTTAAACATAACAAATGTGGAATGTTTTGTAGGCTTATGTATATACAATGTATGTAGATGACATACATCATGTGACCTTCATTGTATAAGTGTCTGAATGACTTAAAAGAAAAGAAGTATTGTTTTTAGCACTTGTCTGAAATAATGCATAAAAAATCTTAAATTCTTACTAGCACAAGGTGGAAATGTGAAATATTTTCCTCTAGGTGGATCCCACAAACCATATCTACATGCATACAGTCTTGCAACCTCTTCTACAAACATGTAGCCATCTAAACACACCACAGTACATTCCATCCCATAATCCACTTGTTGATCACATGACACATCACCATGGAGAGGGGCATCAGGTTCTACACATGTTTTGGCTGTATAGTATCAGTAAAAGATTTATCAAAGACATCATCTTGTACGAACAACGCTTTCAAAGATGAAAAATCGGATATAAAAGTTAAATTGCTAGAGTTAATAAGAAATAATTGGTAAGAAACTGTGATGGACCAATTAACTGACTAGAAAAAAACATCTTCAACGGTTCTCTTATTAAAATAATTTATCTTTACTTTATATATCAGATATTTTTCTAAACAACAGTAAGAGGAAAATCGTTTATTTAACAAAAAGCTGTCAAAATAGTTTGGACAGTTATTTTTGCATAAAACTTAACCAAAACTTACGTGTAACAATGACAGTAAAAGTGCAAGATACAGAATTAAGCTGGGCATCAAATGCTGTGTAAGTAACTGGATATTCTCCAAAAGTGAATATTTGTCCTGAAAGAAAGATTTTGCAATAGTTGAAAGTCATATTTCTTTTGTTTTATTGTCATTACAGTGGGTTGGTTTTTCATCACGTAAGAAGACTCTCAAAAATACATGTTTGAAATCAATTCATAAAGTTTTAAATACACTCATTAAATTAATATTGAATAAAATACACACATAGTTATTTCAAAATACCTTTTTCTGATGTGATGTACTATACTGTATAATTTGAATAAATACACCATACAAATTTTTTTTTTTTGCACAATATTTAAAAGACAAAGTTTCACATAATATTAACCTGGTTGATGGGACTGCTTTATATCTACAACCCCAACATCATCTTTAAACAGGGGTGAAGGCCAACTGATCTCTGTGGAAAGGTCATCATTTAACATGACCTCTACAACATCTTTAGGACAGAAAACAATTTCAGGTGGAATCTTATCTGTAAAAAAACCAAAAACAAGTAAACAAGTGTATATATTTCTAATTCTATGATCAAACTATGTTGACAAACTATACACTGATTATATCAAAGTGCCATGATACATCTCACTTTGCTCTAATGAATAAAGAAAGTGACCACTTTAAAGTTATGTTTCAGCAAGAGCAAGTATGCACTGGCTATGAGGAAATGTAAACCAAATATGTTTTGCTCTTGAACAAGAGTTTTATATGACTATGTAAATCATGTCACTCCTGGAGCACGGGCTTTTTTGTGTGAAGGTCAATTCTAATGCTAGTAAATAATTAATAAAGATCAAAACTAGTATATGTTGACTGTCATTGTTATAATCAGAGATTTCATTCAAAACTGACAAGACAAGAACAAAAATTTAACATATATTTAATCTGATATATAATGTTTTCAGAAATGAGTTTACCCTATGTTAAGTGGAAAAAGCTTTTTGTAAATATCAGTAGATTTCATCACAGATACATACCTGACACATTACAATCTGTAGTTAGTAATCCCGAACATTGACTCTCTGGACAGGAACTTGGTGAAACAGCCATATCATACTGCCTGGCACAAGACTCGAACTCGACCCAGCTGACAACATCACCCTCATTACTAGTGCATTTATCTACGTTACTATAAACATTAATTCCAGTGACAGCTCCTCCAATAGACCCATCTATGTTACCTGCTATCATCCTAAATCTAAACATAAATAAAAATTCTACCAAACTTTTCATGACATAGCAGCATTCATTTCTTGAAAATGCAGTGCTAATAACAATATATATAATTACTGTTTTTAACTAAGATTATAAAATAGCCCTTAAATGACATACCCGGTAGCATGTACTTATTTATATTAAGTTCAAACTTCAGATCTTATCAACATTAAAGTAGAAAGAAAATAAAGAAAATTTTATTAGATATTATAAAATTACGAGGATTGTTACTACTAAACCACTCTGCCAGTTCTAATTTACCTGTTTAATTCATTTCCCGAGCCATATCCGTTGCTGGTATGCTTCAATACAGCATCAACATAGACTGCCCATTCACCATCAGCTGACCATGTAAAACAAACCTGATGCCATGACTGGTCAGTGATATCAAGACTGACAACATGTCTCGTGGCTCCCTCTGTTGGCCAGAAGGAAACTACCAGCCTATCTTTCTTGATTGTCAATAATGACTGTTCACTGAAATATTAAGAAATCAGATTAAAAATATGTGTCATGTGATTAAAGGGCAGACTTTTGTTGAATGCTAGATGACAATTATCATTCAAAAGAATGTCTATAATTCAGTTCAAAGATGACATGCAGACTGTAAATAGCATTCTTTTAAAGTTTTTGTTTTAGTATGTTTATGCAGATTTTAACACACATTTGGTCATATCTCAGCCATCCATTCACCTTTAAGGCTTCCCTGGATAACTAACTGGTAATAACCAACTTCTCCACAAGTGACCTTCTCTGAATCAGTGGTGAGATCGAGATCAACTGTAACAAAGAAATTTTGCTTTGCCCGATCCTACCAAGAGGATCGCACCAGTGATCCCTGGAATACTAATCTGATGCTGTCCGTATTATCTAGCGGACTACAGAGCTATGCAAAAAGATGTAATATATGTAGGGTCAAATATAAACTCATTATTCAGCAATTAACAAAATACCTTGAATGTGTAATTTACTTAAATGAGAATATTTTTAACATCAATAATCCTTTACAAAAATGCAGAAAACATTAAAATCAAGCTAACTTACCTATCATCTAGCATCTGTAATATATCCTTACCACCGGGCATGTCACCACCTTCAACAATTTTAAACCAGCAACATATAGTAATAGCTGATACTGCTTTTGTTACCATATCTGTGCTGCAAGATACTGGTTTATCTAATGTTAATGTCATCTCAAAGTCTGGTGAGTTTTCTGTAAAAATATATACAAGTCTGGTGAGTACTCTTTAAAATTATAAAATGTTCGAAATGTGTCCCTGATTAATGATTAATTTTTATTTAATAAGGTCAATAAATGAGACCTTTTTATTATTTGTTTGGTTTTAACACATTTTTGGTCATATCTTGACTGTCAGTCTACCTTGATAACAAACCAGTAATTACCAATTTTACTCGATAACTAACCAGTTATTACCAATTTTACTCGATAACAAACCAGTAATTACCAATTTTACTCGATAAGTAACCAGTAATTACTAATTTCTCCACAAATGACCAACTACTAATCCCACATGATTTCTGAATCTAAGTAACAGAAAAGTGTGGGGCAGTTTTTTTTATATTTTAGGCAGATTTATATATTATCCTAAACATTTATGAATATCAATTGTTGGTCAATCACCATTATAACAGCCAATCTTTTTTAATGTATATCGAATACAGCTCAACTTGGCAATGAAAAAAATGAGCATAATGTCACTATAAGTCTGACACACAAACTGTGAAAATCTCAGAGAATCATTTCAAGCATCCATCATGAAGTAAATGATAATGTAAACTACCTTCCTGACATCTTGATCCATAAAATCCTGGTAAGCACTGACACCGGACATTTGAATCTTCTTCTATACATTTCCCACCATTCTTACACACAGTGTAATTACACTGTGCCACACTTTTATCACATCTGTCACCATAGTAACCAGATAAACAATGACACTCAAATGTCTGACTAGAAACTGTACAAATTCCACCATTCAAGCAAGGACCTGAAGCACATGGGCTGACCTCTGATTCACAGTTTTTACCAGTGTATTCTATAAAGAAAAAAATTAGAACATACTCATTAACTGAAATTTTAAAAAAGAAATCTGAATTAGTACTGAATAAAGTGACATTCAATTTAATAACCTTCCTAAATTATGTAACATATTCATAAACAAGAAAGTGTTTGTTAAACACAAATGCCCCCGGCTCAGATTCTTGTCAGTAACAATATTTAAAACAAGAGGGCCATGATGGCCCTGAGGTCGCTCACCTGTATAAAGGCATCCGGAGCAGGGCCAGTTTAAACCCTAGGGCTTTTACTTGAACAAACTTGGAAGACACCCATAAGAAGATGTTTCAATGTTAAGTTTTTACTTCACACATATATAATGAAAAACCAACGATCTATCCCCCCCCCCTCCTGGCAGGGCCAATTTCAACCCATGGGCTTTTATTTGAACAAACTTGGTAGACACCCAAGAAGATGTTTCATGCTAAACATCTAAGCTCTAGCTCATTGGTTTTTTTTAAAAGAAGATTTTTTAAGTTTTTACTATACACATATAGTTAAAACCAATGACACCCCTGTGGCGGGGCCAATTTTGACCCCAGGGCTTTTATTTGAACAAACTTTGTAGACAATTACTAAAAGATGTTTTATGCTTAATATCTAAACTCCAGCTATTTGGGTTTTTTTCAAAGAAGATTTTTTAAGTTTTTGCTATACAAATATAAGGAAAATCAATAACACCTGGGATGGGGCCAATTTTGACTCCAGGGCTTTTATTTGAACAAACTTTGTAGACACTCACTAGAAAATGTTTCATGCTTTATATCTTAACTCCAGCTATTTGGGTCTTTTCAAAGAAGATTTTTTAAGTTTTTGCTAAATACATATAAGGAAAATCAATGACCCGCGGACGAGGCCAATTTTGACCCCAGGACTTTTATTTGAACAAACTTGGTAAACACTCATTAGAACATGTTTCATGCTAAATATCTTAGCTGTAGCTCTTTGGGTTCTTTAAAAGAAGATTTTTTAAGTTTTTACTATATGCATATAGGAAAAATCAATGACCCCCTGGGGCGGGGCCAATTGTGACCCCAGAGCTTTTATTTGAACAAACTTGGTAGACACTCATGAGAAGATGTTTCATGCTAAATATCTTAGCTGCAGCTATTTGGGTTCTTTAAAAGAAGATTTTTTAAGTTTTTACTATATGCATATATGGAAAATCAAAGACCCCCTTGGGCGGGGCCAATTTTGACTCCAGGGCTTTTATTTGAACAAACTTGGTAGATACTCACTAGAAGATGTTTCATGCTTAATATCTAAACTCTAGCTATTTGGGTTTTTTCAAAGAAGATTTTTTAAGTTTTTGCTATACAAATATAAGGAAAATCAATGACCCCCCAGGGCGGGGCCAATTTTGACCCCAGGGCTTTTATTTGAACAAACTTGGTAGACACCCATTAGAACATGTTTCATGCTAAAGATCTTAGCTCAAGCTCTTTGAGTTCTTTAAAAGAAATTTTTTTAAGTTTTTACTATATGCATATAGGGAAAATCAATGACCCCCTGGGGCGGGGCCAATTTTGACCCCAGGGCTTTTATTTGAACAAACTTGGTAGACACTCATTAGAAGATGTTACATGCTAAATATCTTAGCTCTAGCTCTTTGGGTTCTTTAAAAGAAGATATTTTAAGTTTTTACTATATGCATATAGGGAAAATCAAAGACCCCTGGGGTGGGGCCAATTTTGACCCCATGGTTTTTATTTGAACAAACTTGGTAGACACTCATTAGAAGATGTTACATGCTAAATATCTTAGCTCTAGCTCTTTGGGTTCTTTAAAAGAAGATATTTTAAGTTTTTACTATATGCATATAGGGAAAATCAATGACCCCTGGGGCGGGGCCAATTTTGACCCCAGGGCTTTTATTTGAACAAACTTGGTAGACACTCATTAGAAGATGTTTAATGCCAAATATCTAAGCTCTAGCTCTTAGGGTTTTTTAAAAGAAGATATTTAAAGTTTTTTCTTTCGGTTGCCATGGCAACCAGAGTTCTGCATGGAATTAAATTCTTTGAACAATTTTTAAAGGTGACCACCAAAGGAACATTCCTGTGAAGTTTGGATGAAATTGGCTTAGTGGTTTATGAGGAGATGTCATTTAAAGTAAAAGTTTACGGACGGACGACGGGCGGACGACGGACGAAAAGCGATCACAAAAGCTCACCCTGTCACTTTGTGACAGGTGAGCTAATAAAGGCTGTGCAAAATGGGCAAAAGTGTAAAAAATCTATTTTTAGCACTGGTGACCTTGACCCAACTGACCCCTAACTCCATCCAAAGGAAGAATATCATGCAACTTATTTTCCTACCAAATATGAAATAAATCTGTCAATATATAAAGGCTGTATGGGCAAAAGTGTAAAAATCTATTTTTAGCACTGTTGACCTTGACCCAACTGACCCCTAACTCCATCCAAAGGAAGAATACCATGTAAGTTATCTTCCTACCAATTATAATACAAATCTGTCAATAAATAAAGGCTGTATGAGCAAAAGTGTAAAAATCTATTTTTAGCACTGGTGACCTTGACCCAACTGACCCCTACCTCCATCCAAATGAGAATACCTCAATTTTATGTTCCTACAAAATATACAAGACATCTGTCGATAGAATAAGGTTAATACACCTGTAAAAGTGTAAAAAATCTATTTTTGACATTGGTGACCTTGACCCAAATGACCCCTTACTAAAGGAAAAGGAAGAGGACCTCCCTTGGTATGACTATTATAAACATGAAAGACATTAACTTAAAAATAAAGGCTGTATGAGCAGAAATGTTTAGATTTATTTTTTTACACAAGTGACCTTGACCTTGACCTAGAGACGCCTAACGCCACAAAAAATTAGAGGACCGTTAAAGGTATCCACCTACCAAATATGAAAGATATCATTAAATAAATTAAGTAATTAGGTGAAATTTTTTGATAAATCCAACTTGGCGGAATAGGTTAACCATACAAGGCCCTATTTTCAAAGTGATAAAAAGGGAAATTACTGGGAAAATGGATGGCACATTTATATAACTTGGCAATACCATGTACATTGTATTGATAAGTAAGTGTGAAAATTATTAAGCCATTAGTTCAGATAGAAAATAAGATATTTCCAACTTGCCAGTTTAGGTTAACCACTATTCATTTTCTAAGTGTTGAAAAGGGCCATAACTTGGTGCAAATGGAAGCCATAGTTATGTAACTTGCCCAGATCATATACTTTGTATGGATTAGCAAGTGTGTAAATTATGAAGCCATTGGTACAGGTAGAACTTAAGAAAAATCCAACTTGCGTTCTAGGTTAACCTCGTACTGACAGACGGACGTTCCAACATTTTGGGTTTAGGGGCTATTTTCTTTGTTTTCTTAAGTGCTACTAGCCCATAAACCCTTTGATCATGGAATGAACCTATTGTTCTCTTTTGTTCTCTTTACTGTTATATACCCCCTAAACCCAAAATTTTTGCTCGGACAGACGGACGGACGTACAGCTAGGCGGACGGACGGTTCAATTACTATATGCCCGGGGGCAAAAAAAAAACCCTACAAGCAGAATGATAAAAGAATGAAAGATACACACACACATTATAAAGTATAACAATATAAACCATACCTGGTGTGCAGGCACAAAATGCAAATTCATTATGTGATGAACAGGTACCATTGTTCTGGCATGGTAATGACAAACATGGGTTTATAGGTGTATCACACTGTACCCCAGTCCATTCATTCTCACATCTGAAAACAAAGCATTTTATTTCTAATGCCAAAATTAGTCACAAAAATTTATCGACTTTTTAAAAAAAAATTGTGAAAAAATTTGTTATGGACTCTTTAAATGCTTATTTATAAACCAAAAGTCATACTTATTTAACTTATATTGAAAAATAAGCCATAAACATTTTACTTGTTTATTTATGAAAATATGTCAAAAAAGTATACAATTATCTTTTAAAAATTGTAGGTTTAGAACAATTATAACAATCATAGTCATTTCTACAAACAAGATGAATGTGACCTTGACCTTTGGCCCCCTGCTCCCAAAATCAATAGAGTCATATACTTGCCAAGACCAATGCATCTGTGAAGTTTGAGGGTGAAAGGCCCATAGGTTGTCAAGGTACTGGTCAGAAACCCTTTTAATATAAAAGGTCAATGTGACCTTTGTCCTACTGACCCCCAAATCTACAGGTCTTGACCACTTTTCATACCAAGTTTAAAGTTCCTAGGACCAGACATTCTTAACTTATTGATGGAAACAATTTGGTCTTCCGAACAAGCTACCAACGAACCAACTAACAGACATGTGCAAAGCAACATACCCCCACTTCTTCAATATGGAGCATAATAAATGTTTCAACCTCCATATTATCAAGTTCCCTAAGAAAGAGTTGCACTAAATATGGACAGCTCTCATAAAAATAATCAAGTCATCTTTTAAAATAATAATTTATAAATCACTTACAAACAAACATAACCCTGCATTTTATCACGACATGTTCCATGTACACATGGTGAAGATATACAGGCATCATGTTCCTCGGTACATCTGTCACCTGACCAACCTATCCGACACATACATTTGTACTCATTGACCCCATCCTCACATACACCACCATTTACACATGGACTGTTGATACATTCATCCAAGTTTGTCTGTTATTTAAACATATAATATTAAAGAAAACAAGATATAATATTAAAGAAAACAAGATATGTTTGTAAAACATGTATGCCCCCTATCAGCAGCCAATTAGTCATGTGATAAGGTTATTATGCATGACTTCTGACCCAGTGATCAAACAATTAATAAGGGTTATAAAGTATCTACTGGTAATGACCTTGACCTTTGACCTCTTGACCCAAAACTCAATAGGGGTCATCTGCTGGTCACGACCAATCATCATACAAAGTTTGAAGTTCCTAGGCCTAGGCGTTTTTAGTAAATTGATCAGAAACTGTTTTTACCTACAAGGTCAATGTGACCTTGACCTTTGACCCCTTGACCCCAAAATCAATAGGGGTCATCTGCTGGTCATGACCAATCACCATGCCTAGGTTGAAGTTCCTAGGCCTAAGGGTTCTCTTATTATTGATCGGAAACCGTTTTAACATACAAGGTCAATGTGACCTTGACCTTTGACCCCAAAATCAATAGGGGTCATCTGCTGGTCATGACCAATCACCATGCCAAGTTTGAAGTTCCTAGGCTGAAGCGTTCTTTAGTTATTGATCAGAAACCGTTTTTACTTACAAGGTCATTGTGACCTTGACCTTTGACCCCTTAATCCCAAAATCAATAGGAGTAATCTGCTGGTCATGACAAATCACCATACCAAGTTTGAAGTCCCTAGGCCTAAGGGTTCTTTCATTATTGATCGGAAACCGTTTTTACCTACAAGGTCAATGTGACCTTGACCTTTGACCCCTTAACCCCAAAATCAATAGGGGTCATCTGATTGGTCATAACCAATCACCATACCAAGTTTGAAGTTCCTAGGCCTTAAGGTTCTTTAGTTATTGATTGGAAACCGTTTTTACCTACAAGGTCAATGTGACCTTGACCTTTGACCCCTTGACCCCAAAATCAATAGGGGTCATCTACTGATCATGACCAATCACCATACCAAGTTTGAAGTTCCTAGGCCTTAAGGTTCTTTAGTTATTGATCGGAAACCGTTTTTGCTTTCAAGGTCAATGTGACCTTGACCTTTGACCCCTTGACCCCAAAATCAATAGGGGTCATCTACTGATCATGACCAATCACCATACCAAGTTTGAAGTTCCTAGGCCTTAAGGTTCTTTAGTTATTGATCGGAAACCGTTTTTGCTTTCAAGGTCAATGTGACCTTGACCTTTGACCCCAAAATCAATAGGGGTCATCTACTGGTCATGACCAATCACCATACCAAGTTTGAAGTTCCTAGGCCTTAAGGTTCTTTAGTTATTGATCGGAAACCGTTTTTGCTTTCAAGGTCAATGTGACCTTGACCTTTGACCCCTTGACCCCAAAATCAATAGGGGTCATCTACTGGTCATGACCAATCACCATACCAAGTTTGAAGTTCCTAGGCCTAAGGGTTCTTTAGTTATCACTCGGAAACCATTTGGTCTACGGACCGACGGACCGACCAGTGCAAAGCAATATACCCCCTTTTCTTCGAAATGGGGGCATAATTAAATATACATGTACATGTAAATTCATGTAAAGAAACATAATTTTAGAAATCAATCTTTACGATCACTACATTAATTTACTTAGTTAAAAAGAAGTAATCTTTTTCCATTGAACAAACTATTTTCTATATTATATATCTATATATATATTATAATATGCATACAAATCTAACTTAATTAAAAGCTATCAATTATAACAATGATAAGTACTTAATCTTCAAAAATTCATTCAGCTATTATCTTTCATTTTTATATTTCTACGATGACTTTTCATTAAAAAATATTTTTTTCAAAGTTCCAGCAATAATCACCTGACAAGTTTCACCAGCAAATCCTGCAGCACAATGACATATGAAGCTGTCTCCATGGTTACTACAGGTAGCCCCATTCTCACATGGTTCTGAATCACAATGGTTTATCTCCTCAACACATAGCTTTCCTGTAATGTACATGATTACCTTGTGGCAGTGAGAGAATGAAATGTACGTAAACCATTTAAGAAGGTTAAAATGCTTCAAGATAAAGACATTCAAATTCTGGGTACAGGTGAAAAATACCATTTTCTACTAAGTGCAGATATACAGGGTAGATTTTGTTTGTTTAATTGGGTTTTACGTCACACCCACACAATATAGCGACATTCTAGCTTTCACATGCCCTTCCATGACTTATTTCAGGCACGAACCGACACCTGAGTAGAACCACCAATAGATATTTGGAGTTATGAGCCTCTACTCTTTCATGTTGACAGGGGTGGGGCATGGATACTGCTGATCACCTTGTTGAGGTTAACACTTGAGTAAAATTTGAAGAAAAGCCTTCAAGGGAATAGGATTTACTGATAAAGAGAAGACACAAAATTGTCTGACCCCTGACCTTCTTATGTGACTTTGAGCCAGCACATGGTTGACAAAGGTTCTGCACATGGTCTCGTTGATATTAACATTTGAACCAAGTTTGAAAAAAACAACCTTTAAAAGGTTAAAGATAATAAATTTAAAGGATGCAGATTGATGGACGAGACAAAGGGATTCCAGTATAACACCCCACCCCCATATATGTTGGGGTATAATAAATTTATAAATTCTGTTCAAAACAATTTTCAATAAACATTATATATCCTAAAAAGTTTTAAGAGTTATTACCTTGCCAACCTGTATCACATATACATTTAAAGCCATAAGCATCATCTATACATTCTAGAGAGTTGTTTTCATTGCAAGGGCTACTGTCACAATGACGAACAATTTTCTCTTCACATATTTCCCCTGTGAAACCTGAAAATGATAAAACACAGAAACCTCACATCAACACAATATATAACAATATAATAACATTTATCTGAAAACCATGAAAAAAATACATAAATAATTAAAAAAACAACAACAGTAATCTTAAAACCAAAAGGGTATAATGGCTCTGAGGAAATTGTACACTTGACTTTAAACTCATTGCTCTTTGAATATTGGAAACTGAGGAGAATTGTCATTAAAGTCTTAGTTCAGGTGACATACTGCCATCTCATTCAACAGACTGTAAACATTTCATAAATTTTTGTACCAGACCACCCAAGGATAATTCTTATTGAAATGAAAAAAAACCACACATTCAAACAGCTAAGAAATTGTTATTTAAAGTTTATTTCTTCTTATAACAAGCATCAAACAAACAATAAAGTTTTAGAGTAAGTAAAAAAATATTACTATCAGAATTAAACAACTCACCTTCATGACAACTACATGTTATTCCATTCTTGCTTTGGAAACAATAACCATGGTAACTACAAAGACTCTCATCACAATGTAATTTAACTGAACAGTCTTCACCAGTATAACTTGTCTGAATAAAATATTAAACAAATGTTTCATATATTTGTATCATAACTTTAAGCTCAGATTTGAAACCACTATTTACAAGTGAAGAAAGTCCTTCTGGTTCCGTGAATTGAGATTTTCAATATTGTTGAGGTAAAAACAATATCTGTTTC